TCAATTTGGTTTTCACGAGAGACTCAACTGAATCTCTCGTTTATGATATTCTACAACTGAATGTGCTGCACACAGACCGCCTCGTGTTTCAGTTCGCACGATGTTCGAAAGATCGAAGTATATTTTCACGAAGGAAACTACTCACAAGGTTGCTGAAAACGCTTCGACAGCCCACGACCGGCTTCTCCCATCTTGGGGCTTCGTCTATGGCATTAAAACGGATAGAGAACATACATCTGTACACATCCCCATTGATGATTGCTTGTCCCGCACCGCAGACTCAACGACAGCCCCTGGAGCTCGTTCTTCGGCCCTGAGGCTACTCTGGTATTTCAAAACAAAGATGTGAGGAGGTACGCTGCTATTTCCCTCCATTTCCCTGAACAACAATTCCGGAAGCAAGGCGCAGCACACAGTGTGGTCGCGACACCCAGTGTGACCGAGACAAGGATTCCCATGGACGTGTTCATCAAGGTAGACAGATGATAAGCCCCGCCACTAATGCAAAAAGTGCATGCGCGAAAAGTTGAGCCCCGACCCACATTTTGCCAGCACCTACTTACTGTACGCGCACAACCTTGGCCTGTTTTGGATGAAAACAATTCCTTATCCGCATCTGGGCTTATTTTGTGCAAACTTTTCTCCGTTTGGACGTAAAACCTTAAGTGAACTTTCTGACGCTTTCATCTCTCGTTCATGACAAGGAGACGGCAATACTTTTTTTGCAAAGCCAAGGAGTGATCCATCAGCAACGTTTATGCAACAATGGACACCAAATGACACTTTCAACTGTTTCTGACAGGTGGAGCTGGTGTAACGCTCACAGTGTCGGCAAGAAATCAGTCTTCGATTGGGAACTTGGCTGGAGTGGTCTAGGATGGATTTTAGGACAGCAATTCTATTCATTTATTGCTGGTCCAAAAAAATTGGCAAAAATCAAATTCTGCCTTATCTATTAGCCACACGACCACTGTTGACTGAAAGAATTTTCTTCGCGAAGTTTTGCGCCTGGCAGCTTTCGTAAACTCCATCGTTTAATTATACGGAAAACTTTATGGATACAATGACTGGAGCTCACACACAAACCATCGAATCTCTTTGGCACGTCTACAAGACGCAGTGTAAATGCCAATGTTGCACACACCGATCTTTAGTGGACAGCTA